AATATGTAGGGCTTTATGGTATCCTTCCTTGCAGAGACGGCTGTATTTCCTTATTTTAAGTTCATTGTCTCACACTTTGGTTACTTTCCAATCTGGTCAATCTTTTCTTATTTTAGCAGTGATGGGAATAAAACCTAGGGCCTTGCACATGCTAGGCAAGCACTCTAAGACTGAGCCTCTTGTAATCTGAAATGCTTTAGGATTAGGGAATTAGACTATACAGTTGCTTCTCTATCCTCCTTCTCAGAAGTCAAATTCATATCAAGCACACAAGCAAACCATTGAAGAGCAAAAATCCTTGCTCTTATGCAAAGTAAAAGATATACAGTATTATTTCAAGGGCAATAGCCTTCTTCTCCAGATATATTGTTGCAACTCCAAGTCTATGTTTGAAATTCCATGTTGATAAAGCCACATCTCGGGCTCCTGCTCTTATTTTTTTTTATTGGCAGTACTAAGGGCCTTGTGCTTACTAGGCAGGAACTTTACCACACTCCTAAACCCATTCCTTAGGGTTTTTTTTTTTTTGCAGTACTGGGGTTTGAACTCAGGGCCTCACGCTTGCTAGGTAGGTGCTCTAACACTTGAGTCATTCTGCCAGCCCTGTTTTGTGTTTGGTATTTTTGAGATACAGTCTCATGAACTATTTGCCCCAACTGGCTTGGAACCTTGATCCTCCTGACTTCTACCTCCTGAGTAGCTAGGATTACAGACATGAGCCATTGGCGCCTGGTGCTTAGCTGTCTTACTATGCAGAAGCCCTTGGAAAAATTAATATTTGAAGTCGCTATATGTTATTTAGATCTTAAGTTGAAGTAATTCTGTAGCCTTTCTTCCTTCTTCCCTCCTTTTTTTTTTTTTTCTTGTGCTGGGGATTGAGCCCAGGACTTCATGGTATCCTGAATCCTAAGCATGTACTCTACCACTAAGCTACAACCGTAGACCCCAGATTCTTTCTTGAAAGTAAACTAATTTAAGGGTTAGGTAGAAAAATTCCCTAAGACACCCTTGTCTCTCTCTCTCTCTCCCTAGTGACCCAAGCAGCTTTCCCAAGTTTCTCCAGATTTGAAACTGTTTTTCCTCTAAATTTCAGGGAGTACAGGGACATTTCATACTATCATCTTATTTATTGAATTTGACCTTACTGACTTTAGAAGCTCTCTAATATGCCCAGCTTTTGTACAGTGCCAATAAGATACCTCAATTATAAAGCACCTCTCCACTGCAGCTAAGCCATTCCTAGAGAAAACTGTATGGATGTATATGGATGTGTATTGATCCTCTCTAATCTTTGCCTCTAAACCCTGATTATTTCCTTTTTTCTTTTGTGTTCTCAACATTTCCTGAGATACGGAGGGGACAGTCAAATATTGTGAAACCATAAACCAGAAGATGGAGGTCTCAAACTCCATACTTAAGCAGAGATACCAGTAATAGTCCCAAACAAAATGATTCAACTTCATATTTCTTTCCTTCCCATAAAAGAGAATAACATTTTGTCTATTTATTTGGGTATTTTCTAGGTTAGCCAGTGACAACTCTGTGTGTGCATGTGTGTGTATATTGAAGAAGGCAATGATAACTCGAGTATAACCATCTGCTTATCTGAATTTGATAGAAAGCAAGAACTGTGAAATAGCACAATAAAGAAGAATATCATGGGACAACAGAACACTGTGGAAAAGAGTAAGAGACCAGAACTTGGTAAGAACATGAAAAAAGATTTGCCTTTTGTGATACATGCTCCAAAAAAACCTGAGAATAGGGCTGGCAGAGTGGCTCAAGTGGTAGAGCACCTGCCAGCCAAGTGCAAAACCTTGAGTTCAAACCCCAGTACCAACAAGAAACTGAAAGAAGTCTGATCTAATGTCTATGATCTTTGACCTTCCTAAATGAAATATAATGAGTTATGTGTGGAATAACATAGATTTTTTTCATTTCTTTACAACTTACATATCTAAAAATATGTATTATTTTAATTAAAAAACATAGTGATAAAATAACATTGGTACAGAAGGGAAAAAGGAGGAAGTACCCTAAGGGAAAATCTAACGTGTGAGGTTAGTAGACCTCAGTTCATGCTGTAATTCTACCTACTTGGGAGGCTGCGATTAAGAGGACTGTAGTTGGAGGCCAGCCCAGGTGAATAATTCACAAGACCCCATCTTCAAAATAACCAGAGCAAAATGGACTGGAGGTGTGGTTTAAGCAGCAGAGCTCCTGTGTAAGGTCCTAAGTTCAAACCCCAGAACTACCCACCCCATATATATATATATATGGAAGAGAATTCACTTCTGCCTTAGTAATCCATCTTCTTTTTCTACACTTCCCTCTTGCCCAAATACCTCACAGTTTGATCCAACTTTTTAATCATATAGATACTTGGACTCCTGAAAAAGTAGACAAAGAACAAGGGGTGATGCCAACCTGGAATGGAATTTCTTACTCTTCCCCAAATCCCTTCCTTGGTGATATCACCAGGCCTAGTTAACTCCACTACCTGTCTAGGAAATACCCACGTGGAAGTTTCACCAACTATTGATCAGAAGATTGATTGCCTGAGATCTCTAAGCCCTTTTCCACGCAGATAATGAACTCAGTCTAGGTAAAAGACAAGAGTATTCACTACAGACATTATTAAGTGGGGAAGAAGTGGAAAAACATCTCCCAACTATAAACTTCTTAGCTCAAAAACAATACAAAAAAGACTGCAGTCTAGACCAGCTATGAGGCCAAGAGAAAGTGTAGGGCTGAGTTTGGGGCAGCCAACAGTCATGGGAAAAAAGTTATATATATATACATGATCGTCATCCCCTACTCTGGGAGTACCCAGTAACTTCAAATCACATATGATCATTAAAGGAACAAAAGAGTGATACTCCGAAATCCAGAACCTCCAGTCACCCTTAATATTCCCAGAAGCCCCTGTAACATAACAGGCCGTGCTTCTTTCTTTCCTCAACTACTTTAGTCCTCCTAATCAGCAGTGCCTCCTCCGTTTGCAGTCCTGCCTCTCTAATCCCCAGTCCCTCTCGGCCACTCTACTTTAAGCACCCTCAGTTCTCTTTACAACAGCCACTCTCCCTGCAGACGATGCCACTCCGCGGGTAGGAACCCTTCTCAGGCCCTTCTCCATAGACGCCTTTGGGGAGCCCCAGCCTCGATTACCCTCGGGGCTGGGCATCAGGGTTGATCCCTCCTCACCTCCCGGCCAATGGGCTTACCTCACCCGCTGCCCAGTCCCTTTACCCAGCTCCTCCCTCTTCAGCGCTACTTAAAGAGTAATGAGGCCTGCCCCTGCCCTCACGGCCTCTGGGCCTCCCGCACCCGTCGCCACAATCCAGCCGCCTCCCCACTTCAGGTTCCCAGCCTTCCCGATCCCCTCCTCAGCGCCCCCATTAGGCCCGCAGGGGCCCGGCCCCCTTCTCCCCTCTCTAGTGGACCATTCTAACCCTTTGCCTAAGCCCAGACCCGCCTCTGCTCTCAGGTCAGGCCTCTCTCATCTCCCGGGCGCCTCCGCCTCTGCCCTTGTGGGCTCCCTCAGCTCGGTACCTGGGGCTCCGTCTCCCCCGTCGGGCCCAAGCCTGTGTCGAACAGACAAACAGCTGCGGCTCAACCAACCCTCTTGTCCCTCCTCCTCCTCCTCGCCCTGGGGGCGGGGGTCTTCAGCCAATAGCAAGATAACCCGCCTACCGTCGAGGGTGGACTATATCCGCATGCATCCGCCAATCCTCTGGAGAAAGGCGGGTCTCTTGGGGCACTGTCACCAACCAGTACGAGGGAAACACTAGAATGGCAGGGCCTCAAGCCAATACATGGAAGCCTTGGGAATAGACGAAGGAGCCACTAAAGAGCGAACTCCTGGAGACAAGGGGCGGCACAGCACTGATAAGCACATGTACAAGCCAATAAAATCTAGACACCCCATGGCCGTCTCTCCCCCCACCCCAACCCCCGCCTTTTGACTCATAAACATCTAATCAGGTGAGTGGTGGAGGTGGGTCAAAGGGAAACTTTAACCAGTACTGTGAAAACTCCGGACTTGAGTGACAGGCAAGGGGAGATCGAAAAAAGCTTCCCGAGGCCGCTACTGACCTTCGCCCCTCCCCCTGGATTGGCTGGGGCTGACTAGTGTCCCGCCTCTGTGACAAATTCGCGGACAAAAAGGGAAATACCTCTCTTAGGAACCCGAAGCCTGGTATTTAAATAACTCACATCAGCTCTTCTAGTTGGGGCATCAGGATACAGAAGTTTTTAGGATGGCCCTTTGGGCAGTCTGAGAGGAATGGAGTGCGCTTTAGTCCCTTCATAATTTTTCACATAAGACTGTTGAATCGTATAGAAATGTAAATAAAAGAACCTTCAGAAAACTTTGTGAAACGCAGCCAAAAAAGAAAACGGCGCTGGGCGTGGTGGTACACCCCTGTAATCCCAATACTCGAGAGACTGAAGCAGAAAATCCTGAGTGCCAGGCCAACCCGGCCTCGCCTGCTTACACAGAGACCCTGTCTGGGCTGGAGGTGTGGCTCTAATGGTAAAGCACCTTCCTAGCAAGAGCTAGGCTCCAAGTTCAAACTGCAGTACAGCCAAAAAAAAAAAAAAAGGAAAATGGGGAGGGGGAGCTTACTAGAAAATGCAGTGTGGACAATGGCCCTGGAGCCCACTTTCATGCTGCTTCTAAGCCCTTCTTAATGAAATTCTAAAACTGCTACTCTACATATACATATGTGGTATGTATGTGTCGGGAGTGGGAGGTTCCCAAATGCAGCTGTATAGTAGTAGAGGCCAAAATGGGTGGAAGGGTAGCACTGCATAGACAGAAATTAGGAAAAGTGGGATCTGAAATCCATTATCACATACATTGAGATGCTCTCCCACACCATTCTTTCAGTAAGTAAGTAAATGTTAAGGATGAGAAAAATGAACTATAAAACTAAGAACATTTTCTTTTAATGAATTACAAACTAAATTACAAATAATGTTAATAGAGCACTGGAGACAAGAGGTGGAAGAAAGAAAATAATAAAAAGAAAAAAGTACTTAAAAAAAAACAAAAAAAACACCTGAATTACAAACCTCAAGGTGCACATGGCAGCAAATTCAGCCACTCTGACAAAAAAACTACTATAACCTATAACCTGAAATATAAATATAATTGTTCATCCTTTTTTTAAAGAAATATTTTTCCCAGTCATCCCTCCTCCCACTCTACCCCCAGTCACAACCCTGAAAAAAGTGTCAGTATTCTCAAAATGACATCTAAACCTTCACTTCCACTATGGGGCAAGGAGTGGCTTTCAGAGAAAGATGGGAGCAGGGATTCCTGGCAACTGAAGAACTAAAAATCCTAAAAGAAAAATTCAAACTTCTTTCACCTGCCTTATAAGGCCATGGTGAAGCACAATCCCTGTCCACTGGGCCTCCCAGACTCCTCTTGCTCATAGGGGGGACACACAAAGGAACCGCAGGGAATCATTTCTTCTCCTTCTCCCCAGTGAGCCTGCATCTCGAGTCTCCCAACCTGTTAAGTGATGTGAAACACTGAGGCATAAACTGATTTGATCTATTTTTTTTTTAACCTAATTCTTCAAAACAGACCCCTTGGTTTTTCTTGGTTCTCAAATGTTCTAATTTAGCCCCCTGCTATCAGTTGACCTTTATAAAAACAGTGGCAGCAGGAGGTTTGGGGTACCTGTCATCCTAACCACAGGAAATATTATGTGATATTCAGAGATTGGGATGGCAAACCTGATGATGGGGGAGAAGTCAGTTTTTGTTTTGATTTGCTTTGAGTATCAGTCCTCCTCAGTGATGACTAAGAGGAGTGACAGATGGTGGTAAAGATTGAGTTAAGTGCATCTAATACTGAAATTTCCTTTCCTTTTGACCTGTTCCTCCCCTCCACTTCTGAATGCCCAGAATTGGCTGGCCAAGAGGGGAAGGTGAGTGCTAAGGCAGCCAGAAAAGATCAGAGTGCCCACCGGCGTGGGCCCAGAGCCAAGTCAGATCAAGCCCACACTAGAGGAGAGGGTGAGACTGAAGGTGATGGCTTTGGGAAGGACATCAGAGTCGAAGGTGGGGTACTGGCTTGGTCACATCCTGGAAGAAAGGGTGAGCCAGAGCTGCTTTTGCCGAAATCCGTTTGTTGGGGTCATAGTGCAGCATTTGCTAGAGAGAGAAATGTATGCTAATTTCAGTGATGTAATAGTAGACCAAGTAGGTGGCAGATCTCAGAAATCAGGAAACTAGAACTCTTTTTGTCCAGTTCTCATTTCCCTCCCCCATATCTAAACCAGCATGCTGACTGACAGGGAGAGAAGCAGGGACTAGGGAAATGCTGACCCCCAAAGTTCAGGGTCTCAGTCTTTCTTCCCTTCCCTTCCCTTGGGGAATGAATGAGGAGTAACAGCTGCCCACTCTCCAGTCTTACCGATAACAAGCTTCGTCCATCTTCATCCAAGGGAGGCACAACTTTGCCAAAATCTTGCCGGGCCCACTTGGGGAAACTCGGCTTATAATCAGGCATAGATGTAACTCCTGGCCAAACCACCTCATCTGGGGTCCCCAGAGTCCGGAAGATCCGGAAGAGCTGGTCAATCTCAGAATCTCCAGGAAATAGGGCCCGGCGGGTCACCTGAAAATGGGGAAAGTGGAAAGGGCAAGACCCACATTGATGTCAGTCAAAACTGTCCCCTATACAAAGGAGGTTCCCATAGGCAGTGAAAGGTTGGTAGGGTCCCATGACTCCCTCCCCAGGGTCTTTCATGGGGTCGGTCACACAGAACCTGAGACAATGAAGTCCCTTCATCTGTCTCCTGGCCCCTCCTTCCTTCCCCCAACCATGGATTTGCAGATCCCCAAGGCTGGGTGGGGCTGGGAGGGGGTGAATGTCTGGGGTGCCACTGACATGTAGCAAAGGGATCCCAAGCCACTCACGGGGTATGGGGTAGACACTGCGGTCATCCCCCCTCCTTGTGATGCAGCCACTTCTAGATAGGAGCACAGCGGGCAGAGACTGTGTCTTCCATTTCTTCTGTGTTCCCCACAGCACTTAGCATGGTGCTGGGTACATACTAGGTGCTTAACGAATATTTTTTTGATGAATTGAGAGAGGAATATGGGCAATTGTAAGGTAATGCACTGGCGGATAAATGTACATTATAAATGTATATCTATATATAGACTAATGGCCTCCAAGCCCCCAGTTATAACCCAGATAAAGGACCATAAGACATATTGCTGATCAGCCTACTCCACTATTGTATTAGAGGGGATGGGCGCTCCCACATAAAGCCAGGCCTCAAGGATCCTTTAATCTGAAAAGTCAGAGGTGAAGGGAGACATACAGAAATGAAGAGTGTGCATAAAGTGAACACCATTGGCTTTACAACAAAGTCTATAGGCCAAATGAAGGAGGCACTAAATGGAATTCATTCTTCCAAATCTATGCAGACTAAAGTTAAAACAGCTGAATGGCTGCACAAATGAGTTAGCTCATTTCAGGGATAAGAGATGTACACTAGTTACAAAGTCTATTTGGGGACATTCTAACATTGTGGTTGTAGTAGGAAATAGTCCTATCTATGTCCCTGTCCTGGTGGTACTCTAGAGAATTGTGTGATAACAGGGCCCTGGTTCTGGGCCAAGAAATGGTTCTGTTGTTCTTGGATGTGAGGAGGAGCTGGCTGGGTGAAACTTGGGCAAGCCTCCATACCATCTCAGCAAAAATGCAGCCCAGGCTCCAGATGTCCACGGCTGTGGAGTAGTATTTGCAGCCCAGAAGGATTTCAGGTGCTCGGTACCACAGGGTCACCACCTGGGGAAAAGAGTAGGATAAGGGAAGGGTGTTTTATACAGCATGGAGATTTGCAATCCTTAGCTCCTCCACAAAACTCTGCAAAATCTCAGGCTCTTAAGCAGTCTCCTTTCTTTCCTCTGATTTCTCCTAAGAAAAGGGACTACATACAGCTTTCTAGCCCAGAGTAGGCCGAGTCCATGATACTCAGGACCATCTGAACCCTAAATTTGAGACCTCCTTGGAAAACTTGAGACAAATGGCCATACTTTTAATGGTGTGCCACATAGCTTTCCTGGCTTGGTAGCTGAGCCCGGTAAGCTTCATACTATGACTTTTGTGCACACCTAAAACTATTAGGGTGTCAGAGGTTCTATTAAGAGAGAAACTGATGGCCAGATAGTTTTAGTAACTTTATCAGTGCCCTTGTTAACACTTCCCAGGATGCTCAGAGAAGAAAACCACAGAGGGATTTACCTCATGGGTATAAGTACGCACAGGAACTCCAAAGGCTCTGGCTAGTCCAAAGTCTGCCAGCTTGATGGCCCCCTCTGTGTTGATGAGCAGATTCTGGGGCTTAAGGTCTCGGTGTAGGACTCGATGAGAATGGCAGAAAGCTAGGCCCTGGAGCAGCTGGAACAGATAACTCTGACAAAGGAGACAGGAAGGAGTGTTTTTCTCCACCATAACAAGCAGATTAGGGTTTACTCTTTGCCCCCAAAAGTCTACTAAAGCCTTTACTATGTTATATCATAACTATATGTTTAACAGCTATTTCTACCATTGAACTTTCAACTCAGTGAGGATAAGGACCAGATCTTTTGCATCTCTTTCTATACCCTAATGTGCCTAACACATTGAATTTGTGTTAAGTAAACATTTGTTTACAGATTGAAAGTTGCTTTGAAGATGAAGAACCCAGCCCTAAAACAGACAACAGAGACTTACTATTTCTCCCACTAAACAGGTGGAAGGGCTTTTTTGGAAGAATCTGCCAACTACACTCAAATCTCATTTATTTATTTATTTATTTATTTTCTTTTATTCATAAGTGCGTACAATGTTTGGGTCATTTCTCCCCCCTTCCCCCCGACCCCCTCGCTACCAGGCAGAAACTATTTTGCCCTTATCTCTAATTTTGTTGAAGAGAGCGTATAAGCAATAATAGGAAGGACCAAGGGTTTTTGCTAGTTTCAAATCTCATTTATCTAAGTTTCGTCTGACCTCCCACTTGAACTGCTAGGTTGACTCACTACAATTTCAACTTTGATTCTTCAGCCCAACCCTCAGGTTAATGACTATAATGAGCAGGGAAAGAGACACAAAAGAAAGGGGAGAGGGGTGTTTGGGCTGGGAAGGATAACACATTATCATCCAGTCTGAATTGCCTGCCTCTAGTCCCCCTAAAAACATGTGCATGATGTGTTGGAGTTAATAAGGATTACCTTGATGAGGGGTAGAGGAATGCCAGTGAGGGCAGAGGCATCCATGAATTTCTTGAGATCTTGGTGCAGAAATTCAAAAACCAGATAGAGTTTATTTTCTGTGTGGATGACATCTAGCAGCCTGGGGAAGAATGGGTCCAGTAAATAAAGGTGAGGGAAAGAAATGCCCAGACTACACAAATACAACTCATCCTTCCCTACCAGGCCATACTTACTTGACAATATTAGGGTGGTTAAGTTCCTTAAGCAGAGAGATCTCTCGGATGGCAGTACTGGGTACACCCTCAGTCTCACTTGGAGAGGTTGAGAAAGCAGAGAAGAGGATATGGTTACAAACATTCCTTTCCCCCAGGGATACCACCCCCAGTATTCCCTTGGGAAGTCAGAGAAGAGGAAGGGTACTGTAAGGAGTTAATTCCTGAGTAGACAGGGTGTGGCTTTTGGGCACATTAAAGTCGTTTTTCGCAGGGGAAAGTAAGTAAAGTCGCCTGGTGAGGGTGAAGCAGAGAGAAGATAGTAGAGAAAAAAAGTGAGAGTAGCACCCGATCTCCCCCAGAGGGCTAGAGAAATCCAACTGCCATTCTTTTGAAAAAGGGAGAGAATTCTAAGATGAGGGTGGAGTTGGGGCAGTGAGCAGAGCTCTTCATCCAGAAAGGTGCCCTTTGCTGGCTCCCACATAACCAATTGCAAGAGGAGTCCTGGGCCCCATCCCAGAGGCCGCCTTTCTCTTCCCGACTGTTTCTGCTTACACATTTTGGGGCACACCGGGCTCAGTATGGAAAGAAAGTTTTCGATGGATTCTTCACCACCCTATACTCTTCCCAGCGAAATACTCTACGGTCAGTCAACCCACCCCTCCACTTCAAAAAAAAGCCCCTCCCTGCTACCTTCCGGTCCCCTGGACGGCTTACCCGCCTGTTGCGGGGGGAGGGGGGAACAGTCAAGGAGCTCCCTAGTTAGGAGTCGGGGCTACAGAGGCCACTCACGTGTCCAGGCGGATTTTTTTAAGCGCCACCACTTCTCCAGTCAACTTGTTTTTGGCTTTGTACACAACTCCGTACGTGCCCTCTCCGATCTTTTCTACCTTTTGGAAGTTCTCCATGAAGCGCTAGCGAGTCGGGTCAGCCCGGCCCTGGAGAACGGGCCTGGGAACCCTGGAGAAGGCGTGCCCAGACTCTCGGGGGCCGAGGAGAGGGAAACAGAGTCCAGCACCGTGGCCTTAGATCGGGATGGAACGCAGTGTATGTCTGGCTCTTGTCAATTTGTCCAACTTGAAACAATGTTGCTGCCTCCCCCCGACCAGTTCCCGACCGCCAGCAGAGGCCCCGCCCCTCCTTCCCGCGTTTCGCTGGCTCCGCCCCCTCTGTTTCCGATTGGTCAACGTCAGAGTAGGCGGGGTTATCCCAGCACTCCTAGCCGAATGACCCCACCCCCGTGCAAGTTTGGTTCTGAGAAGCCAGGTCATTTCTTTCTCTGTGAGACGGCTATAAACTTATTCCTGAGTTCCTGATTTGGGCTGAGTTTCCTACCTGTGTCTCTAAGCCTGTAGGGATTCTTTGATTTCTAATTCATTATGCTCACCACACCTTGAATGAGATTAAATTCCATCTGGCCCAGGGGAAACCACCAATAATCTTGGGTCTGCCGCCTGAGTAGCTGGAATTACAGACATCCACACCATACCCTAAGCCTTTTTTTCTTTCCTTTTCTTTTTTCCTTTTTTCAAAGATATGGACTATTAGCTGGGTGCCGGTAGCTCACATTTGTAATCCTAGCCACTCAGGAGGTACAGATCAGGAAGATTCTGGTTCCAAATCAGCCCAGGCAAATAGTACCCGCGACCCTCTCTTGAAAAAACCAATCACAAGAAAGGGGCTGGTGGAGTGGCTCAAGGTGTAGGCCCTGAGTTCAAACTCCAGTACCACAAAAAAAAAAAAAAAAACATGGAATGTTTCATGTATTTGCATGTCATCCTTGAGCAGGGGTCATGCTAATCTTCCCTGTATCGTCCAGGGACCCTTTTTATTTTTCTTACTGGGCTTGGGGTTTGAACTCAGGGCTTCCCACTTACGAAGCAGGTGTTCTACCACTTGAGCCAGACCTCCAGTCCATTTTGCTCTGGTTATTTTGGAGATGGAGTCTCACAAACTATATGCACAGAGCTGGTCTTGAACTATGATTCTCCCAATCTTAGTCTCCCAAATAGCTAGGATTACAGGCTTGAGCCACTGGCACCCAGCTCAGGAAACCTTTTTTCAAAGACAGAAATCCTGGCGAGGAGTGGTTGTGCACTTTTGTAATCCCAGCACTTGGGAGGCTGAGACAGGAGAATGGAGAGTTTGAGGCCAGCCTGGGCTACATAAAGTGAAACCCTGTCTGGGGTGGGGGAGGGGGCAGAAAACTGAATGTCATGGTAAAGGATTCATGGTCCACAGAGGAGGCATCTCTCATCACACCTGACACTATCTCTGCTTATGGATACAGGGTTTTTTTCTGTTTTTTAGAGAGGTTTGATTTCAATTGCTCAATTCTCCCAGGCTGAATTGTATGTGTTGGATATGTACTACAAAACTGCCTACCAATCAACTCTTTCCCAAATAATGGACTGTGTCAAAATGAGTGTGACCCAATTAAACTAGAAACTGTCATTGAGTAGTGGGATGGGAAAGGAATTCTGCCACTTGATGACTTTTTTTTTTTTTTTTTGGCAGTACTGAGGTTTGAACTCGGGGCCCACCTGAGCCATACCCCCAATCCAGGGAAAGGAATTCTGGAACCACGATCCCTTGTCAGTTCTGTTTCTTTCCAGTTCTTCCACCCCTCTGGGACCTCCCCTAGAGAGAGTGAGGAGGAAGGGCTATGCAAATTAGAACCCCTTTCTTATATAGGGGTTTATTCCAGCCCCCCCAGCACCTTTGGTTGCTGGAAGGAAGAACAGGATGGATATGGTGCTGAAAAGGTGCCTTCTCCATTTGTCTGTGCTGAGTGTTCTGCTGGCTGTGGGGGACACAGAAGGTGAGTGTGGGTGTGTGGACAGGATCAGATGTGAATTAGGAGTTCAGCACGTGCTCTAGTTTTTACCTCTTCTAATGGGAGATACCAGAATATTTCACGCTTCTACCTATTTGACTTAGTGAGGATATGGGCACCTGAGTTCCCTCCGTCCATGAAATTCAGGATTGAGCATGAAAATAATCCTATCTGTTTGGAGGGACTCTAATTTTGATGTACCCTGTGCAGTGAGCTGGAGTAGGGGCCCCAAAGGAGTGAAATGTGTGGGAGATTCTTTTAGGTAATGTCTTAGGTAAGGGATTCAAAGTGGGCAGACTGTGGTATTTGATAAGATGGCAAAGGTGACACCACTTTTCCTGCCTTGGGATAGGGATGGATGAACACAGTCCAAGCCTTATTTTCTGGGCCTGGGAAAAACAGGCAGAAGGGTCTCAGCTGAGCATCACATGAAAGGACTCTGGGAGATTGGGGCCTCGTGATAGTAGCAAGGGGTGGGGCAGATGGTGGCAAGAGGGTCTGGAATGTCCCGTGCTGCCAAGGAGGGAGGGTTGGAAGTGGAAAAAGAATGGAGCATCTCATGACTTTTCTTGTGCTAGTGTTGGTACGCTTAATGAGATGATTTCAGATCAATGCCCAACAGGATAGCCTAGGTTCCCAGAATACATTAGAAATGGGAATAATGGAATGTGTCAAGATGAGAATGACCTATTTCTGATGTGCTGAAATATATTATATATCATATCACAGTTACTCCTTCTTTCTCTAGATTCCTGGCCTCACAGATATCAGATATCGAGGAAATTCTCCTCAATCTGACTTCTCTCACTTGTGTTGCAGTGTCAAGTCTTCTGGAAACATTCTGTTCATACGAACCTTCTCATACACAACACACCCACCCCCCCCACACACGCGCACACACATCGCTCTTTAATTTGTTTTTTTACTTTTCATTTTGAACTCAGGGCCTCACACTTGCTAGGCTGGCACTCTACCACTTGAGACACTCCACCAGCTTTTTTGCGTTGTGTATTTTGAGATAGAGTCTCAAAGCCTGGGCTGGCTTCAACTGTGATCCCTCTGATCTCTGCCTCCTGAGTAGCTGGGATTACAGGCAAAGACACAATTTTATTTATTTTTTGGTGGCACTGGGGTTTGAACTCAGGGCCTCACACTTGCTAGGCAGGTGCTCTACCACTGAAACAACTTCATTAGCCTCATATGAGGCTCTTAGCCATGTGCCAGTGGCTCATGTCTATAATCCTAGCTACTCAGGAGGCAGAGATTAGAAGGATCACCGTTCAAAGCCTGCTTGGGCAAAGAGTTTTAGAGCCCCTATCTTGAAAAACCCATTACAAAAAAGGGCTGGTGGAGTGGCTCATGGTGTAGGCCCTGAGTTCAAACCCCAGTACCACAAAAAAAAAAAAAAAAAAGATTGTGCTTAGATTTTGAATACTGATTTTTAAAATCAAAAGAAGGCATTTTTTTCAAGGATGGGAGTTGAAGCTCAAGTGCACTTGTCTGGCATAGGTGAGGCCCTAGGTCTTATCCACACCTCTAGAAAAAAAAAAGGCATTTTTCTAGATATTTATGAAATTTTATATGAATGGTGTTTGCCAATTTTCTCTATGGTAAAATAACACTGTGCTTAAGGCAAGAGTGGTAGCACTTACCTTGTAATCCTAGCTACTCTGGGAGTAGAGGTAGAAGGATCCAGAGTTTGAAGTCAGCCTAAGCAACATAGAGAGGTCCTGTCTCAAATAAATAAACAAATAAAAATAAATAACCTGTTGGATGTGGTAGCTCATGCCTTTAATTCCAGCACTCAGGAGGCTGAGGCAGAAGGATAGCAAGTTTAAGGCTGGCCTTAAATACTTAAAAGGCCTGTCATACACAAATAAATAAATAACATGCTTACGCAAAAAAAAAAAATTCACATTTTAACAAGTATTTTCTGAATTCGAAGGGTAAGATAATAAGCTTATAATCTTTGCTTTTAAATAATTTAGACAAAAACAATAGCCAATAAGGATAAAGCAAATATGGCAAAATGTTGACAGCTATTGGATTTGGGTGAGGGCATATGGAGGTCTCTTATTTTCTTTTTACCTCTCAGACCTTTCTCTTGGTCAGTTATAATAATTTTATCTGCTCTGTCCCCACCCCCAACCTCTTCCTGCTTCTAATCCATCTTCCCCAAATGCTTACTACAGCAATCTTTCTAAAATAAACATACCACCATGTTCAACAAACTTCTGCAGGATGAATTCTATGGTATGTGGTATGTGCTTACATCTCAATTTAAAACAAAACACTAGCTGGACACAGTGTTGAGTGCCTGTAGTCAAGAAGCTAAGATGGGAGGATCACTTGAGCCTAGGAGTTCAGGACCATCTTGGGCAACATATCAAGATCCTATCTCAAAACATTTTGTGGGATGTCTGTTGTGACACATATTAAGCAGTGATGTGAATTATCACCTTAAATTCCTTCAGATCCATATCTCGTTCATGTTTGAAGTCCTTTGTGCCTAAGATAGTGCTCAATACATGATGGGTATTCAATAAAATATGCACTTTGAATATGAGAATGAATGTAGTGACATGGAATAGAGTGTTACACTATGAAAAGGAACTAAGGGTCCTACTCACATATTTTTAGGACTCAGAGACCAGGACCGGCTTGGTGTCTCAAGGCAGTTCAAACCTAAAGCCTGGAACAGGCAGCTATATCCAGAGTGGACAGAAGTCCAAGGACCTGATTGCTGGAAAGGTGAGAACTCAGAAGTTCTGGGGGAAGGCATGGTGGGAATGGGATAGGGAAGAGAACAAGAACTGGGTCAATACACCGTGGGAAGACAGGAAGGGGAAAGCTATATGGGGATGGGAAGCCAAGGAATCACAGCTAATGCAGCTTCCCTTCCCAGGTGGCAAAGTGTCCCTGAAGGTTACTAATGATGGGCCTACACTGATTGGTGCAAATGCTTCCTTCTCTGTTGTCTTGCACTTCCCAGAAAGCCAGAAGGTACTGCCAGATGGGCAGGTTATCTGGGCCAACAGCACCATCATCAATGGTAGGAGCCTTCTTACTCTAGACCCTTATTCCTAGAGCTCAGGTTTCCTGGTGTCCCCAGTGAGTCCAGGGAATGCCCGTCCTCCTATTTTTCTAAACAAATTATATATGCAATAACACTCATTGTATTAAAATTAGAAAACTCAGATAAAGCAAAAAGAAAAGAAAATTACATTGGACTGATGAAGTATCTCAAGCGGTAGAGCACTTGCCTAGTGAACACAAAGCCTTGAGTTCAATCTTCAGAACCCTCCAAAAAGAAAATTACAGTCCCTAAATTGGAGGCAGAAGAATCCAAAAGTTGGACAAACTTAAATTCATCACTAGTATGCAACCCTGGGAAGTAACTTGTTTTATACTTCATATAAAATGGGGTAGTACCTTCCTCAAAAGATTGTTTTAAGAATGAAAATGTGATCATCTGTGAAATACTCAGATGATCAGCTGTAGCCTACAGTAAAGGTTTAATGAATGTTAGCTGGTGGTGGTATTTTTATTTTTATCTCACCAGTTTGAGAAAATTGCTGTAAACATTTTGTTCTATAGCCTTCCTGTCTTTTATTTATGTAACTTCTGAATCTTAAGTTGTAGTTTCTATACCTCCCCACCCCCAACTACCACCCCAAATGGATTATACCATGAAGAGTGTACTGTCTAGCTAGGGAGTATTCTGAGAGCCCCTCTTGAGCCCTAGGAGCCATTTTATGGATTTTGGTGCATACAAAAGAATGCCAGTACTTTTGAGGATGACTGTATCTATCTTTCAGGGAGCCATGTGTGGGAAGGACAGCCAGTGTATCCTCAGGAACCAGATGATACCTGCATTTTCCCTGATGGTGGACCCTGCCCATCTGGCCCTTGGTCTCAGAGAAGAAGCTTTGTTTATGTCTGGAAGACCTGGGGTGAGGGACTCCCTTCTTTGGCTTGTCATCACACACTTATATTTACTTTTTTCTACCTGATCACCTTTCTTTTTGGCCCCACCCTTAACTTCTATGATTTTTCTCTCCTTGGCTCCTTCCTATTCCACAGCACTTATATCTCTTCAACGCTATCATAATTCCTTTTGACAGCTCTTCCCCAATTGTAGATCCACCCACAGAACCTCCGTATTAAAATCTGTTCCCTGTCCCCCCCCAATCTTTGTGTGTGTATGTGTGTGTGTGTGTGGTACCGGGGTTTGAACTCCAGGCCTCATGCTTGCTAGGCAGGCAATCTACCACTTGAGTCATTCCACCTACCCCCACCCATTCCCCCAACAGCCCTTAATATATCTCCTGTTTTTCCTTCTTTGGTGTCCTTTTTCAAATCCTGGCCCCTTTGACCAGTAGCCTTCCCCTTCCTGCTTTTCTTTCCAAAATTCTCAGGCCAATATTGGCAAGTTCTGGGGGGCCCAGTGTCCAGGCTGAGCATTGGGACAGGACAGGCAATGCTGGGTACACACACCATGGAAGTGACTGTCTACCACCACCGGGGGCCCCAGAGCTATGTGCCTCTTGCCCAGACCAGTTCAGCCTTCACCATTACTGGTAAGTGGCAAGGTCAGTCATAGGGCAGGAGACTGGGGAGGCTTGGCTGGACTGCAAAGGGGAAATGGTGTGCCACCTTCAAAGGGCAGGGGTAGGACTTGGGCAGAGGAATGTGGGGCTTAGAGCCAAATAAAGGGCCAGCTTGTCAAGGGGGTTAGAGAATGTGGCTGTGAAAGGAGAAGCTGTGGCCCAGGGCTGGTTCTCACCTTTTCTGCCTCTAACCCCAGACCAGGTACCTTTCTCCGTGAGTGTGTCCCAGCTGCAGGCCTTGGATGGAGGGAACATGCACTTCCTGAGAAATCAGCCTCTGATCTTTGCCCTTCAGCTTCATGATCCCAGTGGCTATTTGGCTGGGGCTGACCTCTCCTATACTTGGGACTTTGGAGACAAAACTGGGACCCTGATCTCTCGGGAACTTGTGGTCACTCACACTTATTTGGAATCAGGCACAGTCACTGCCCAGATGGTGCTGCAGGCTGCCATTCCTCTCACTTCCTGTGGTTCCCCCTCAGTTCCAGGCACCACAGATGGGCACATGCCAACTTCAGAGGCCCCTGGCACTACAGCTGGGCAAGGGCCTACTGCAGAAGTTGTAGGTACTACACCTGGTCAGATATCAACTACAGAGCCCTCCAGAACCACAGCTGTGCAGGTGCCAACCACAGAAGTCAAAAATACTGTACCTGTACAGGTGCCAACTACAGAGGGCACAGTTACTATATCTGAGCTGGTGCCAACCTCAGAGGTCATAGGTACCACACTTGCAGAGAAGTCAACTGTAGAAGATACAGGTACAACACCTGCAGAGATGTCAACTGCAGAGCCCTCTAGAGCCACAGTTGCACAGGTAACCTCAGAATTGGTGGATACCACAGCTGGAGAGTTACCTACCCTTGAGCCAGCGGGTCCAGATTCCAGCCCATTCATGCCTACAGAAGGTACTACAGGTAAGAACAGTGTGAATGAGATTCATTAAGGTGGGATACTTGTCACTCCTTTACTCTGTAAGTCTTACCCAAGACCCAGATACTAACCAGTCCTTTGTTTAGCACTGTGGTCCTCTCAGAGCTCTCAAATCTTTCTTAATGATTTGCAAGAAATTTGGAGTCCAGGAAACTAGGGTTTTCCCCTAGGCCATGAGGAGAGGACTTGTTGCTTTTCTACCCTTGAGGAGAACAGCTGGGAAGGTCAGGAAGTCAATAGCAATCATTTACATATTTATATAGCATTTTCTTTTTCTCTTTTGGTAGTACTGAGGTTTGAACTCAGGGCCTCACACTTGTTAGGCAGGTGCTCTACCACTTGAGCCACTCCACCAGTCCATTTTTGTGTTGAGTATTTTTGAAATAAGATCTTGTGAACTATTTGCTTGGGCTAGCTTTGAACCGAGATCCTCCTAATCTCACTCCCACAGGCATGAGCCACTATTGGCCAATCTATCACATTTTCTGTTAAAGAGTAAGTATACAAAAATCTTTCTCAGATTCCAAGACCCTGATCATCCCATTTCCAATTCCTGGGTTCCTATCCCAAAGCAAAACAAGAGGAATAAGATAATGATGCTCAAATGGGTTAACATATGGCAAGTGTCTAGCCCAGGACCTGGCACAGTGTGGGGCATGATAAACATTTGAAGATTAAAAAAATAAAGAAAAGAAAGGTTGGAGATGTGGCTCAAGAGATAGAGTACTTGCTTTGCAAGCACAAAACCCTGAGTTCAAACCCCAGGTTACCCCCACTCAGCACCCCAAAAAAACAAACTCCAGCAACCACCCCAACTTTGTGACTCTATAATAGTAATTTTCTTCTGGGTTTTATTTTCCTTATCTATAAAATGAAATTTCCCCCATCTCAGCTGATTCTAAATCAGTAATTCCAGGGTCCAGTAGCTCTGGTTCTACCTGGGAAAATGCCTGCTTGGCCTCTTTCTCCAAGTGAGTCAGTCTGTCTCTTGATCTTGCCTCCTCTATACTCTCTTGCCAGGGTCCCTGAGCCCCCTGCTAGATGGCACAGACACCTTAACACTGGTGAAGAGACAACTCCCCCTGGATTGTGTTCTTTATCGATATGGTTCCTTTTCCCTCACCCTGGACATTGTCCGTGAGTCTTGCCTACTTTGGGGGATGAGAATGGGAGGCATGTGCTGCCTAGGGCTAGACAGTGGAAGCCACCTTGGGAGGAATTACCACACCTCAGGGTCCCCCTTTCAAGACACAAGGATGGGAATGGGAGAGCAGCCCTAAGGCTTTCCCATATATATGGGTCTGGTAGAAGAATCCCAATTTATAATCCTGCAATTTTGCAGAGAGTATTGAAAATGCTGAGATACTGCAAGCTGTGCCATCCAGTGAGGGGGATGCATTTGAATTGACTGTGTCCTGCCAAGGCGGGTGAGTGTCCTGCTGGTTGTTGTTATAACTCTTGGATCAACTATTGCTCTGCTTTCTGGAGTTGTGTCCCTTCTATCTCCTGATACAAGCTGATAATTCTTCCAGGCTGCCTAAGGAAGCCTGTATGGACATTTCATCACCAGGGTGCCAACCCCCTGCCCAGCATCTGTGCCAACCTGTGCCACCTAGCCCGGCCTGCCAGCTGGTTCTGCACCAGGTACTGAAGGGTGGCTCAGGGACCTACTGCCTCAATGTGTCTTTGGCTGATGCCAACAGCCTGGCTGTGGCCAGCACCCAGCTTGTCATGCCTGGTAGGTACTCAGACAATAGTTAAGATGAAGGGAGTGGGAAAAGGGAAGCTGGGAGGGAACAGATACTGACGCAATGACTGGGATTCTGCTCACAGGTCGAAAAGCAGAATTTGGGCAGGCTCCCCTGGTTGTGGGCATCTTACTGGTGTTGATGTCTGTGGTGCTTGCATCTTTGATATATAGGTAAGAACTCTACCATCCAGCCCAGACCCCAATCCATTACCACCATTCACTTTTCGAGACTGAATTATCACTCCCTTTGAGGAAGCATAGTGTCCAGGAAAGAACCCAGTTTGTTCTTGGGAAAGTAGCTTAAACTTTCTCAGCCTCTGAGAAGTAGGAAAACAAACATCTGCCCTGTGAGGCTGTTGTCAGGATTAGAAGCTATGGGGGTAAGCAAGCCACCTGGGGTGGAAGCAATAATGTAATAAATGATGACATGGTGACTGTTGTTAAGAAGAACGGGATAGGGGAGAGGATGGGAGAGGGGGGCAGGGGGAAAAATGACCCAAACAATGTATGCACATGTGAATAAATTAATAATAATAAAAAAAGAATGGTATAGTTGAGGTAGAACAGAGTTCTACACCTGTGAGAAAGGCAAGGTCCTCAAAACAGAGAAGCTTATAGGGTAAAAGAGAATGTATAGAGGTTAACTGGAGAAATAAGAAAGGTTTGACCCTGATGGTGATAAGAAAGGGAGGGAGCTAGGATCAAGGCCAAGCAGACTTGGGATGAGTGTGTCTTGTCTTTGGAGAGCACAGACAGGCTGCCTTTTTCCACTGATAACATTTCCTCCTTCCAATATTAGGCGCAGACTTAGGAAGCAGAGCTCTGCTCTCCCCATTCCCCAGCTGCCACACAGTGGTACCCACTGGCTGCGTCTGCCCCAGGTCTTCCGCACTTGCCCTGTTGGAGAGAACAGCCCACTCCTCAGTGGGCAGCAGGTCTGAGTACTCTCATATGATGCTGTGATTTTCCTGGGGTTGGCAGCAATGCCTGTATTTTCTGCAGTCTTCCCTTGGAGGCTACCATTAGCTGAAATAAATACTCAGAACCTGCTGTTTTTTTTGTTGTTTTCTTGAATCTGTATCTTTTACAGAGTAGAAAGTGTGTAAGAAAGAGATGTATCACTTACTTAATAGACACCCCATTAGGGGGAGAAGTCATTTTATTTAGTTGAGGCACTTTTAACATGTATGTTTGTGATGTTTGTATGTGTGTGTGCTTGTAGTGAGATGGTGCAGGATAATAAATACTGTCAGGGCAAAGGAACACTCCACTGAACTGGCAGGAGGGTATGGCAGCAATGTACAGAGCCTAGATGGTGGAGTTCAGGGACAGGGAGGTGGGTTCAAGGCTGGCTTGGAGACTGAGGGTGTCCTTCTCAGCCCAGAAAGCCAAAGAAATTGTAGGAGCGGGGAGGTGGGCCCATGAGCATGGGCATCTGGTTCTTGTGGGTGATCTTGATCTGGAAGGAAAGGGAACACATTCAGAAGCAGGACTTAGTATCTTGGGGTTGGAGAATCAGGGATTAGGGGGAAAATTTGGGGGATTTGGAGTAGGTCTCTGCTATCCTGGAGAGGACACAGTAAAAAGGCCGGGGCTGAGAAATCAGGGTTTGGAAGAAATGTGCCCAGGGGAATTTGGAGCATCAGGAGGAAGAAAAGAAGCTGGAGAACTGGAGATTTGGGATTCATGGAGCTTGAAGGTTCAGTTTTTGACAGTCATTACTCACTGTACATGGCGTTTGCATCCAGGGTTCCCCGTCAATTTGCATAGGAAGGGTTTTGGTGGTACTGTGGAAGTCAAGGAAGATTAGTGATTTCCTTACAATTCCAAAACTCTGTTTCTCAGGTTGGCTTTGAGATCCTTGATCACCGAGGAAGCTCACCTAGTAAAGCCCTTCCCTACCATTCCCATAACCCTCTACCCTCCCGGTCCACTCCTTCCCTCAGGACCCCTGGCTGAAGTCTTCCTTACTGGAAGGTGATCTCAGAGCACTTGGCCAGTCGATGTCCAGCATTCTTGAGCTTTGTATAGATTTGGCCCATCTCAATCGCACCCTCTAGTCCTACTACTTCCAGTCGCTTATCACTTAGGTCTGGGGGTGAGAAGTAGAGAACTAGGTTTTGTAAAGCAAGGTTCTCCCAAAGGAAGTCACATGTTCCCCTCAGACCTGCCCACTCAGCTCCTAAGGGTATTCCTCTCACCTGGCACACAGGTTTTCAGGATATCAGGGTCAGTGATGACTTTAGCTGTAGTGCCTAACGCCTGGTTGATTCCACAGATATCCCCCTGGGGTTTCTTGGTATCACCCCAGAGATTGGAGCCACCATGCATGCTAGGGATGTTCAGCACCGCGATGCCTTCTAGGGACAGGGTGCTCAGATCCAGAGGTTTCCCACAGATCTGTGGGGAGGAGGGCACAGCTCCAGTTGGGAAGAACACAGATCTTCACCTCATAGCAATGGCATAATCATGGATCTAACTGCTCTCTCTACCAGGTGACAAACTGGGAAGGCCAGGTTTTGGAGGTTTTGGAGATTCGCATGTGATGGAGGGGAAAAGGAACTAGTGTATCTTGAGGACTTAGGAAATCAGGATCAGAGAGTCAAGGTCAAAGAAATATAGGTTCAGTAATATGGAAAGTGGGCTGGGGATATAGCTCAGCGGTAGAGCACTTCTCTAGCATGCACTTGTCTAGAATGGGTTCAAACCCTAGCACCACAAAAAAAAAAAAAAAAAAAAGAAAGAATATGGGAAGTTCCTAAGGATGTCTGTGAAGGAAGAAACTTGAAGCTGAAAAATATGTAGGGCTTGTTCTCATCATACATACCTCAACTGTCAAAGACTCCTCTAGCTTTTTGCACGTTGAGAAGATGGATTCAGATGTGGCGAATTCAAAGTACCATAACTTGTTCTTCATTCTGTGAGTCCCAATGTAAGTCCCAGCAGAGAGGGGACAGGTTACACAGTACTGACAGGGGTAGTGACAGGGAAGAGCACTAACATCCCAACTCCAAGGGAAATAAAGGTAGTTTTGCTTGGGGGATTCCTAGAGTTGTCACTGCCCATCTAAGCATTCTGAACCAAACTTGGTCACAAAGTTTTCCCATGCCCCCACACCCCACTTTTCTCTCACCTGCTGTTGAACTTCTCAGGATATTTCTCTCGCATGATGTGGAATCGGTGAGCAATAGAGGCATCCTGGAGAATTAAGGGAGTATGACATCGGAATTCTCTTTCCCTCTCCCTCTTTCTCTCCCTTACTCACTCCCACCCAATCTGAGTGCAGCATGTCCCAAATTCACTTTTTGCAACTGACACCACTGATCAGAACTCCCAATTTTCCTGTGTTGCTGCTCCCTTAACCTCTTTGTCCCTTGCTATCCTCCTCCAGCCTCTGCCTTCTTAATCTCCACTTTCTCTCCTCCTCCTGTGCCCCAATCCACTGACCACACCAATAGAGAAGTAGTTATTGATGATTTGAAAGGGGACTGGATCACACTTTTCTTCAGTTTGTTGAGGTATCACTTCCACAGACCATCGATCTATATGTACCACCTTACTCATCTCTAAATCCTTGAGGATCTTTGCCAAATTCTGTCCCTCATACCCTAGGAGTAGAGGAAAAAGATAGGTTAGCATTGAACTCTGAGTCTCAGAGAGCCCTCCTCTCAGCCCCATTGCTGCAGATTCCCCAAGGACCCTCAGTCCTGGTTCTGCAGAACCTCCCAGCCCTTGCCAGTCAAAGGGCAGGATGTGCAAGCTGCCATGAACCAATGTTAAAGTCAGCCTCTTGCTGAATCTTTTTCCACACTGTTGTGGAAGATGAGTATCTCCAGTGTGCATGGATATCTAGAAATGATTCCAAATTCACCTGGAAGACTGGAGAGAATAGCCAGGAAAATGCTCAAAAAGATGAGCGACAAATGGGGATAATCTCTCACTACCCTCATGCTTTTTTTTTTTTCATTCTTTTTTGATTTTTGGCAGCACTAGGGTTTGAACTCAGGGCCTCATGCTTGCTAGGCAGGCACTCTAACACTTGAGCCACTCCACCAGTCTCCCCTATCCCCCCTCCATGTTTTCTTGCTCCATTCCACCAGACAGAACACAGAATAAAGGAAGAGTCTAAACATGCCACTATGAATAGAATTAAAAGTTTAATAATAAAGAAGAGAGTGCCCCAGATTGATTCCTGTGTGCATGGGAATTTAGTAGAAGATAACATTTCTAATAAATGGGGAAAAGATACATTATTCAATAAATGGTGCTGGGGCAGAGGGAGAGGGGAGGTGGCACAAACAATGTATACACATGTAAGTAAATGTGAAAACCATAAAATAAAAGGAGAAAGAAAAAAAATAAATGGTGCCAGATGGGGAAGTCACTTACTATATTTAGCCTGGGCAAAAATGTGAAACCCCATTCAAAAAATAACTAAAGCAAAAAGAACTAGAGGCATGGTTCAAGTAGCAGAGCACCTGCCTAACAAGCATGAGGCCCTAAGTTCAAATCCCAGTACTGCCAAAAACCAAACAACAAAAACAAACAAAAATGAAGTAGACTTTGTACTAAAAGAAAACATGAATGTTTTTATAACCTTTGAATGTTTTTATAACCTAAAGCATAATACAAAACTAGGAGCCCAAAAAGATGGATAAATATAATTATATTAAAATTTAAAATTTCCATATGGTTAAATAAACACTTAAAAAAGACAATAAAAACTGGGAAAATGCACATATAACAGATAACTTTTTCAAAAAATGCTTACAGGGCTGGGGCGTAGCTTAGCGGTATAGTACTTGGCTAGAATGTATGAGGTCCTAGGTTTGAGCCCCAGAACAACAAAAACAAAACAAACAAGAAACAGCTTACAAATCACTGCATTAAAGTCAACAGGAAAATGGCAAATAATACAAATAAGCCTTTCACATAAGAAGAAATACAAATGGCCAATTTTCATATGAAAGATGCTCAATATTACTAATAACTTAAAGAAATTATGGCTGGGGCATATAATCCTAGCTACTGGGAAGGATGAGATCAGGATTGTTGTTCAAAAAGTTATCAAGACCCGATGTCAATCTGTAAGCTGTACAACGGTAGCTCAAGCCTGTTATCCCAGCTATGGGAAGGTCCTAGGGAGGAGGATTGCAGTCTAAGGTTGGCCCCGGGTAAAACGTTGAGACCCAGCTGGTGCCAGTGGCTCACGCCTGTAATCCTAACTACTCAGGAGGATGAGATCAGAACGATCACAGTTCAAAGCCAGCCCAGGCAAATTGTTCATGAGACCTATCTTGAAAATACCCAATACAAAAAAGGACTGACGGAGTGGCTCAAGTGGCAGAGCACCTGCCTAGCAAGCATGAAGTCTTGAGTTCAAACCCCAGTACCACAACAAAAAGCAAAGAAGGAAATTTAAACGTACTAGCTAATTGTGTGTTGTCTGTCAGATTATTAGATTATAAAAAGATTGAGAAAAACACCTGCTAATGAGTTTATGCATAAATTGGAACACTCATTTTGCTGTTAGTTGGGGGCATAAATTGCTCATTTGTTTATGGAAGGAAATTTTTATCAAAATATTATCAAAACATTTTTTTGTGGTACTAGGGTTTGGACTCATGGCCTTGTGCTTTGCCGGGCAGGCACTGTACCTCTTGAACCACAACCTTGGCCTTCAAAACACATTTTTATTGTTGTTTTTGTTTTATTGTGGTACTGGGAAATCAACTCAGGGCCTCATGGATGCTAGGCCAATACAAAACCACTGAGCTACATCCCCCTAGTCCTCAAAACATATTTTTTGACACAGCAATTTTACTTATAGGAATTTATCTGACAGAAACTAACATACATGCGCAGAGATGGATGTTTGTTGAAATACTCTCTGAAGTAAAAAAAATTGGAAACAACCTAAATGTCTATCAATAGAGGAAAATCATATAAATTATGGCAAATCCATGCCATGAAATACTGTATAGGTACAGGATACAATTATTGGATGTAGTGAATTCTATCTGTACATGCTAAAATGAAAAGATCTCCAAGACATAGTCAATGAAAAAGGAACTCCTATGATCTCATTTATTTGTTACAATGTCATGTGTCAACACACAAGCACACACATATGTCTATAATGGCAGAAAAATGGGCCAGGCATGGTGATGCGTGTCTGTAATCCCAGAATTTGGGAGGCTGAGACAGGAAGATCCAGAATTTGAGGTCAGTCTGGGCTACAGAGCAGAACCTGTAGAAAGGAAAAGAGGGAGGGAGGGAGGGAGGAAGGGAGGAAGGAAAGAAGGATGGAAGAAAGGAAGGAAGGAAGTAAATCTATGAAATGATCTCATTTTTGCTTAGGTACATATTAGTTTGTGTCTAGAAAGAAAAACATAGAACCATAGACCCCAAAACTTTAGGGAGTAGGTTATAGGGAATTTCACTTTCTTGGCAAATATATCTGAAACTTTCAAATTATTTTTTTACTACAAGTATTTATTGTTTTTGTAATCAAGGGGGAAAAGATTTAAAAAAAATATTTCCACATTTCACATTCCCCTAATGGCTCAATCCAGTGTGGTTTGCCTTTCATCCATTCCACATCCCACCCCACTGAAACTCTGTTGGCAAAGGTTGTCAATGACTCTTGTCAAAACTAGTTTACTTCTAGTTCTCATTTTAACTCTTGAAACTCCTCACTAAACCTCTGAAATATTACTCTCTCGGTTACAGAGGATCCTCTCTCTGTTTTTCGTGGTCTCTGTGGTAGGCAGAATAATGGTCTCCCAAAATGGCCACATCTGAATCTCAAGAATCTTATATAGGAGCTGGGTTTGGTGGTGGGCACTTACAGTCCCAGCTCCTCAGGAAGTTGAGGCAGGAGGATCAACTAAGCTCAGGAGTTCGAGACCAGCCTGGCAACATAGCAAGACCTTTCCTCAAATAAATAAATAAAGCAAGGTGCCAGTGACTCATGCTTGTAATCCTAGCTAGCTACTTGGGAGGCAGAGGTAAGGAGGATCACACTTCGAAGCTAGACCCAGCAAATAGTTCATGAGATCCTATCTCCAAAATACCCAACACCAAAAACAGGGCTAGTGGAGTAGCTCAAGTGGTAGTGTGCCTGCCTTGCAAGTATGAGGTCCTGAGTTCAAATCCCAGTATTTGCCCCTCCAAAAATAAAGACACAGGGCAAAAAAAAAGAATTTGCAGATGTGATTAAATTAAGGATCAGGATTGGGAGATTACCCCTGGATTATCTGGATGGTCCTAAGGAAATCACAGGATCCTTGTAAATAGAAGAAGAAGGCAGAAGTGAAGAGTCATAAGAAGGTGGTATGACAACAGAAGCAGAGGCTGGAGTGATAACATTGCTGATTGGAGGAGGCTGTGAGGCAAGGAATGCAGACAACCTTGAGAAACTGGCAAAGGAAAGACAAGGGATTTCCCCCTCAACCCCCACAGAGAGAAGCATAGCCTTGCCAATCCCTTGATTTTAGCCTAGTGAGAGCTCTTTTGGACCTCTGACCTCCAGAACTGTAAGATTAAATTCATTGCTTTAAGCAATGCTATTTGTTACAGCAACAATAAGACATTAATATATAGATGCCATCAATAAATCCTCTGAAATATGGTGTTTACTAGAATCTTGCTGTCCTTATCTACCTTCTTACCTCTTTCCTTAGGTATTCTGGTCTATTGTCAAGCTGTCAATCATCATTAGGAGCAGACAATACCCTAACATGTATCTCCAGCCCAGTCTTCTCTAAATCCCTGACATCTATTTCCAACTATTCTCCACCTTTCCATCTGGTTTCTCCACTGACAACTCAGCTCAACATGTCCCAAACTGAATCTATCTTTCTCTTTTAAAATGGTCTTCCTTGAAAGGGTATTGTTGCTCATACCTATAATTCTAGCTACTTGGGAGGCAGAGACTGAAAGGCTCACGGCCAATCAGGGCAAAAAGCTGATGAGAACCTCATCTCAACCAATAAAAGCTGGGCATGGTAGTATACTCCTGAAAAGCATAAATAGGAGGATCTTGGTTCAGGCCAGCCTGGGCATAAACATAAGACCCTATTCAAAAAACAACTAAGGCATAAAGGAGGTTTGGGGATGCGACTCAAGTGTCAGAGCAATTGCCCAGCAAATGAGTTCAAAACCCAGCACCTATGTTCCCATCATAATAAATGGCACCCCTGCAGCTGGGCGCCAGTGGCTCACACTTGTAATCCTAGCTACTCACATTTGTAATCCTAGAGATCAAGAGGATCACAGTTCAAAGCCAGCCGAGGCAAATAGGTGGAGAGACCCTATCTTGAAAAAGCCTTCACAAAAATAGGGCTGGTAGAGTGGCTCAAGGTGAAGCCCTGAGTTCAAGGCCAAGTACTGTAATAAATAAATAAATAAATGGTACTCCTATCTGCTCAGTCCATACACCTAAAACCTACACTTATTTCCATCTCCTCTTTCTCTTCCTCTTCCCTGACCCATCAGTTATTAAGTGCTGTGGAAACTCACCAACTCCGGTGTCTCTCTCTTTGCTTTTGTGCTCATCATCTCGTCTGGACCACTGTGATACGGATAATTTCCTATCCTGTCTCTTTCCTCTAATTCATCCTCCACCGAGGTGATACTCCTTTCACTTTCCTCTCTTCAAACCTTATGGCATTTTTTAAATGTCAACATAATTTTTCATTAGTGCTGTATCTTTATGGTCATGATTCAGGTTGAGTTAGCAGAAAACTGCTATTAAAAGTCTCATTTGTAGAACACATAGTGCAGACTCAAAATATGTAATTTCAAAGGACCTAATACTGTAAATGAAAAATTCAGATCTGGGTGTGGTGGCACACTTCTGTAATTGCAGCTACTCAGAAAGCTGATGCAGAAAGATCACAAATACAAGGACATTTAGTGTGTCCTTGTCTCTAAATAAAATTTTACAAAAAGGGCTGGTGGTAGATTTCAGCAGTAGAGCACTTGTCTACTATGTGATCATGTGCAAGGCCCTAGGTTCTAACCCCAGTACCAAAAAAAAAAAAAAAATCAAATGTTGCAGACTTGAAATCTGGTCAAAAAAATTGATCATGTCAGGTGTGATAGTACATATCTGTAATCCCAGCCCTAAGGAGTCTAAGGCAGGAGGAGCCATGATTTTGAGGCTAGCCTGGGCTATGTAGTGAAACCCTGTCTCAAAACACCAAAAAAATTAATCGTATGGCTACAAGCAAGACTTCCATTACAGTATGTACTTGGAGGTATTTCTTCCTATTTTTTCTTTTAGACAAGATGGGTTGTGTTCAGGGTGGTATGGCTGTAGACAATATTTTCGTTTAGTTACATCAAGAGTTCCTCCTTGGTACAGACTTGTACAACCAAATGCCTTGGAGACTTGTAAAATAAAGTGAATGAGTGACTAGCAGGGAGCCAAAGGTGTTGCAGTGAACTGAATAATATATAACCCACTTTAGAAACAATCAAATTCAAAGAAATTGAAAACACTGAAAGGCAAACAATAAAAAACAATACAAAAACATTTCTGTGGGAAGTCAGTTTGTGATCTCTGGCAGGATATGGATAAAAACTCTTCATGACCTTCCATAATCTGCATAATCAACTCACTCCTTTCTCTCCCCCTACTCCATCTCACACCCTATGTCACAGACAACAAATGTACCACCATGCTGTTCGGTGGTTCCTCTGGCCTACTGCTACTTTGTCCCCTAGGTTTCCTCCCATTCTCCTTAGCAGACTTCTATTCCCTAATCTCCACGGAGATTTTGGAACTGGACTCTGATCCTAACAACATCAACTCCAAGACACTTCAAATACAACCTGACCTTCACTGACCTCTTTATCTACATTCCTGAAACTCTTTCTTTGAACAGAAAAAGAGATTAGAACTGGGAATGCAGTTAGGAGACTGTTGCAATAAACTTGGAAAGAAGTGAGGCGCCAGCGGATCATGCCTGTAATCCTAGCTACTCAGGAGGCAGAGATCAGGAGGCTCAAAGTTCAAAGCCAGCATGGGCAAATAGTTCGTGAAACCCTATCTCAAAAAACCCTTCACACAAAGCTTGGCTGGTGGAGTGGCTCAAGTGGTAGAGCACCTGCCTAGCAAGTATAAAGCCCTGAGAGTTCAAACCCTAGTACCACCAAAAAAAAAAAAAAAAAAAAAAGAAATGATAGTGAATGAATGACTAACTACATGATTGCTTAAATGAATGAGTGAGTCATGGACAAGCTCCCTGCTACTCGGCCCATCACTCATCATCTGGCTTAGTTCTCATGCAACTTTCCTTACTCCCACATTATACCCCATCTACCTACCATACTCCTTGATCCTCTGAGCCCTGAGAGTTGTTTGTGAGAAACACATATTTTTGGAGTTTATAGGGTAGAGGACTATCACCCTTGACCCTCCTAGGTTCAGAATACAGTCCCTACTTCTACCAAATCTTTCTTCTTTTTAGCCATTTCACTTTGGTATCCACCTATCTGTGCCTCTCTTCTTTTTCAACCTTCTTCTACACCAAATAACCTAGATTCTTCTCTGCATGCCTTTCTCTGTTCAACTCCCCTATGCTGAGATCCTAGCAAAACAATTTCTAACCACTTACCTCCTCCCCACCTTAGACAACGAGCCAGATCATTTCCAGTACCCAGGGGCAACACCGCAACCGGAGGCACAACAGGCAAGTTGGCTTTGTCTGGGGAGGCAGGAGAAAAGACAGATGGAGAGACGTGGCTCTGAGAGATCACTGTCCCCACATCCCTTGTCTCCTGTCCGGAGCCTTTCCCTACACTGACCAATGGACTCTAGAATCCAGCCTACTGTGCCGTCTCCACCACACACCAATATCCGGCTATCAGGAACATCTTTGAAGAATCTGAGCCTGAGACAAAAGGGAGAGAGATGAAGGATAACAGGATAGAGGCTACCCAACTTCTGGACAGATTATTTCTTGTCTCTTATTACTATAACCTTTTTCTCAAAAGATTTGAGTTTAGGACTAAGGGGTGTATTTCAGTCATAGAGTGCTTCCATAGTATATATGGGCCCTGGGTTCAATCCCCAGCACCATACACACACACAAAAAAAAATTTTTTAAATTAAGAATACTACTCAGGAGGCAGCTATCAGGAGGATCGAAGTTCGAAGCCAGCCAGGGCAAATAGTTCGCAAGACCCTATCTCAAAAAAACCCATCACAAAAAAAAGGCTGGTGGAGTGGCTCAAGGTGTAGACCCTGAGTTCAAACCCCAGTACCATACACAAATAAATAAATAAGCAAACAAAAGACTTGAGTTTCTTTTCTTTTTTGGAGGTCCTGGGGTTTGAACTCAGGACCTCAAGCTTGCTAGGCAGCACTCTACCCACTTGAGCCATGTCCCAAGACTTGAATTTCTATTAAGGGCAGAAAATTGGGAAAGTTATAGCTACTCTTTAGTAGTAGGGAAAAACTGGTATCTTCATTCTTTGAAAGCAGGACAAAGATGGGTCAGAGAATCAAGAGGACAGGATACCCAGTGACCTTAAGGCAAGAAGCATTTGGAATTCTGGCATCTTGGGTCTTCTCTCCCAACATATACTCTTTCCTGCTCTCTCTCAACATACATAGATACACAGATGCACAAAAACCACTGTTATATGGCCCTAACCTATACTCACCCTGGCTCAGGACCATCCTTCAGGAGGTTGAACACCTGCCGAGGGTTTAGTATATACTGGAACTTCCAAAGCACCCTGTGTGAGTGTAAAAAGGAAGTGCATGATGGGCGAGAGGAGAGTGATATTCTGTATCCCTCCTGATATCCTCCTCAAGGTGTCCCCTCCATATACACATTCCCTCCTCCCTCCAAGCTCTCCTCACCTCTGCCCCTGCTTCCCGCCACTCTTAGGATTGACAAAGACTAGAAGTGGGTGGGTGTTAGGAACAGGGTCAATCTGTAGTGGGGGAAGAAAATAAGGATGAAGAGGGCAGGATTTTTCCAGAGTTAAAGTGGGCCCTGGAGACAGAGGCAGAGGACCGACATTCCCCAAGATGCTTTCCTCCTTCTTCCCTGCCCCCTACCAGGGTGGAGCTTCTAAACAGCAGGTACTACCCCCGCCCCAGCTTTCCTACTTCAGTTCCTCCCAGGAGGGCTCCAGCCCAAAACTGGCACCATCATGAAGCCCAAGCCCCTCAGCTCTGTACCCGAAGAGCCTCTGACGTGCATAAGCTTAAATCATCCAAGGTCTTCTGGCTTGTTTTGCTATGTTTACGATCTTGTCCAGATACCTAGTAGGAGTGCAAAGCAGAGGGGAGAAAAGGTGGATTGTGCATGATTTGATAGTTGCATCTGACTTCAGTCTTTAAGGTACAGGCTCTCTATTCTAAATGGCATTTTGTGTGTAGAGGTATGTGAGTCGGGAAAGTGGAGAGGCACTACTGTCTCCTCCCAGCTGCTACCCGAGGGTCTCACCAGAACGCTGGGGTAGATGGAAGATGGAGGCAGGATGTGATCACGGAGCAGCCCACCATCACATTCAGGGCCCATGGTCGGCAGGCAGTTATCATGTATCTGAAGGACAAGGTGGGCACACAGAGAAAGATCATGCAGATGACCTTGCTACCCTCCTTAACTTGACGGTCTGAACTGGAAAGAGAACCCCTGGAAAGCGGGAACAACTGTGGCTGTAATGGAGGAGGGGTTAGGGAGGAAGGTCTACGGAGAGAGGGCCCTTAGTAGGTGGCCACAAGGCATAGTCTGGAGGGATAGCTCCCGAACTGACCTCTAGGTGGCACCATACACAATGCAGCCCGGTTAGACTGTGGTAGGTCCGGATCTTTTTCTGGCAGCGGTCGCAACGCCCAGACTCACAGCCTCCTCGAACCCACACGTGTGATTGGACCTTGGGGAGAAAAGCATTCTCTTGTCTGGGAGGGTCTGAGCAGAGACTAGGAAGGACCAAGGTCAAGATGGAGATGATAATGTGGGGGTGGAGGGAGCATGGGATAACTCACACCAATGTCCTTCCGAGACTTGGCATAAGTGCTGACTTCACAAGGCCGGGCCTTCATGGCACACTGGTCGTGAACAGTGTACTTGCAAACTGGAGAACAGGGAAAAAGGTCAGAGCTTTAGCTGGAGCCCTTCTCCCTCTCTTCTCCATCTTGGGAGTGAGGAAGGATCACTCACTGAAAAAAGACATGTAATCCCTTGATGTTAGGGTGTGGCAAAGATTAAAGTTTGGAAGAGGGGAGCTTCACTTACAAGACCTGTGTCTTTTCCTCACCCCTAAAAGAGCAACTGCCACCAGATGCCTTCCCCCACAACATCCACATGCCAGGCAGGAACTGAACTGTATGATGTAAGGAGAGGAAGCCAGGTCTAATTGGGATAATAATAACTAATTTTTATTGCACTTCATAGTATATGTATGCACATTGTGAAGTACATTTTTTGCATCATCTTTAATTAATACTCACAGTTACCTCATTTTAAGTCAAAGAAATTTAAAATTAAAGAAGATGCATGAGCTGGGTGTCAGTGGCTCATATCTGTATTCCTAGCTACTTGAAAGGCTGAGATCAGGAGGATCGTGATTTTAGGCCAGCTGGGGCAAACAGTTCTGGAGACTCCATCTCCAAGATAACCAGAGCACAGTGATCTGAAGATGTGGCTCAAGAGGTAGAGTGTCTGCTTTGCAAGTGCAAAGCCCAGAGTTCAAATCCAATTTCCACCCCCCACACCCCCCAAAAAAGCATGATGCCTTGGGTTTGATCTCCAACACCACAAAAAAAAAAAAGTATATGGCTTTCTCAGTCTTACATCAGTGGCAGTGGCAGAGCCCAGGAGTATTCAAATCCAGGTCTCTCTAAGTTCAGAATGCCATGCTTCCACAAATTGCTGGGTTCCCCTCTGCAAGCACACTCCCAGGTCCCATCACTCACGGTTACAGCTCAGCCCCTGTTTGCCGAGACCAATGCTTGACTCGCACAGGTTGCAGTAGACTGATCTGGGGAATCTCTTGGGTCTCCACATGTGCTGCCCATCGTCCTTCAAAGTCTGAGAGGGCACAGAGTTACCAACCTCTTAGAGGGTCAACCTCTCGCGAGCACAGCCCAAGACAGCTGCCGTACCCATGCTTATAAGCCTCTCCCACTCACCATCTCCATTCCCAGCAGCACTAACAATGGGACAGTAGTAGCCCCGGCCCGGACCCATTCGGCTAGAGAGACAGAGCCACTGCCATCATAGTCGATCTCTTGCATCATCTCCTGAAGAATCTGAGTGGAAAGTGGGAACAGACTTTTGGTGTGAGTGGACTCTCAGACACTTCTCTCTCTCAGAACACCAAGCTTAGCCATACTATCCAAAGGAACCAGTGGCCCATCAGAGATGGGGTAAGGCAGATGCAGGACTACTAGGAAAGAGGGTACAATAAAGGTCAAGAAGGAAGAACTGCCTTACCGGCCTCAGCTCAGACACATCCCAATCTAGATATTCAGCCATTCGCATCATTTGAAGGATGATTTTTTCTACTTCCTGGAGCAAAGAGGATAAGAGTCAGTCTTATCCACAGCACACTCACTCCACCACCCAAACTCTTCTTAAGAAACCAGGGTTTCTCAGCTTCACTCCCAGATCCACCACTCATTCTTAAGTATCCCTGCCAAGTAAATAGGTGTTTGTATGTTTGTAAGGCAGCCCCCAGTTCATATTTTCAGCCTGCTCCTTTAAGAGTCACAAGTTTGGGATCTACTCCCAGATTTAGTCCTAGAGGACTCAATTTCTTCCCCCAGCTGCCACTTCTTTTTCTTTTCTCCTCTTCCCTTGTTGGCACTGTTGGGGATCAAACCCAGGGCCTTGTATGCTAGGCAAGCACTCTATCACTGAGCCACACCCCTAACCCCTTCTCTACTTCTTAACACCCTGGAAGAGTTAAGACAGGAGTGCATGAACAAATGGAAACATTTGTTCCCTTGCCCAGTATGGGTCCCACAACTCACTGAGCTGTCCAGGATCCCATTTCTGTCCGTGTCGTACAGCTTGAAGGTGACTGTGGGGTAGGAGCCA